AGTGAGATTTCATTGGAGATGGTGCATTCTTTGGTGCGAGTGTGAAATGAAGTGCTGTAAGTACAGATGAGTGAATGTTGTTTGTCGGGACAGCGCACGCCGAGCACTATTACAGGTGTTTTGTTTGTTTTTTTGAAATTAAGCACAGCTGCAGAGCACCATGTGATTGGTTTAGCTTGTCACAAACAGCCTGTTCCTTTAATTTTTTGAGCAGTGTATTACCTGTGTTAGCAGTAAATCTAAACAATATCAAAAGACATTGCTGACTTGTAGAGGAAGTGAAGAAAAATCTCTCCAGGGTGTGGATCTTCAGAGAATATCAGCGCAAAATAAATCCTCCTGCAAATATCGAAAAAAGGAAGGAAAAACACAAGAAGAAACTTTTGCACAGTAATACGTTTCTGTGGAGCAGATGTAAAGAAGTCTTATTCCTTCTATCCGTCCCTAAAGCCCCTCACTGGTGCCACACTGTTTGTCACAGAAACTCTCAGAAATTTTCATCCAGATTGGTCCACTTGTCTAAGACGAGGGGAACATATAAACATGTATAGACGCACTAGAATCATTATAGTATGATTATTGTTATTATTAGTGAGCAGTGTATTTAAATGGTCACATTCATTAATCAACTGAAAGCTTTTTCAAGCAGAGACACACAGCATTTATACATTCAAATGTGAGAATTTGGTGTCTGCCTATAAACTTGTATTATTTATTGATCTAATGGAAACATGGACAACAAACCAGATGTTAATCCAACAAGTTTATTATCATGGAAATTTAGGAAATGAAATTTAGGAAATGAAATTTAGAAAAATACGTGTGAACTATGCTTTGTTTGCCGTCGTTTTCTTTAACCCGTTCTTTTAAAGACTAAGCTTTGGGATGTGAGGAGAACATATTTTCCAGATTCCAGACTATGTTTCATCACATGTTTTTGGAATGTAATTCTGAAAAAGTTTCTCACAGGTGACAGGTCTCCTGCTCTGACACTGGGACCCACTCATATGCCAGTTCAGCACAGGAGCAGCACAGACACACAACCTCTTATTCCACTCTCACATTCACACCGCGAGTGAAAAATCGCCAGTGAACCCTGAAGGATGACGTTGGACTGTGGGAGGAAACCGGAACAGGGCAGGTGGCGCTCCAGGGATTTATTTTTGAGTTATTTTGATGTGGTACTGCCACCTAGTGGATGAAAGGAAAAAATGAAAGAACAAATATAGAAACGATTAACCGAATTATTGTATAAAGTTGAAAAATTAAACGAAAATTCTGCTACTAAAGTTTCATAAGATCATATTTATAATGATCTATTTTATATGCCGACCTTAGAGGACGTAGACAGTCATAGTTTTCAGACGGACGGACTCATCTATTCTCTACAACCTTAATCAAGCCCACTGTTTTTAGTTGGGATGAGGCTTGCTGTTTATGCTTCAGTGCAGACAGTCAGCAGTAAGGTGACCCTTTAATAAAAGTATTCAAGATCATCATGTGGAGGTGGGGTTGGTCTCACCGGAGGTGCAGACAGTGTTTTGAGAAGAACTGCAAAAGAAAAGGAAAAAGGATGGAGGCTTTGGAGAAACGGCTATCTGACAAACCCGAGGAACTAAAAGACACTCCTAGGCCCTACCCTGTTTGGCCTTACTGTGTATTAGTTTGCGGAGTTTGGTGCAGCTTTCTTGTTTGGTGGGGGGTGGGGATCAACAGGATATAAATACCTGTAAAAAGTTGATTGGTTCACATTTGCACATCTTAATTTTTAAGTGACATTTGCGTTTTAAGTTTATACACTGATTACATGCATATAATGCAACGTTTTCCTGTTGCAGTATTTTGTATGGTGCGTTTTTCTATGTTTTTAACAAAAGGGGGGAAAGGGACATTTAATTCAACCTAAGATGATTTGTTTTAATTTGCACATGGTCTTACTGAGGTGATCTAAAGTGAAATATGCATTTTTCTTTTCTTTTTATTTTTTTTGTAATGTACTGGAAAAGCTTGAAAATGGACATTGAGTGCATAAAAGTGCTTGAATTTGACCCTGGACAATAAACTCTGTGTCCAGTAATGTTTTCTGTGGCTGTTTTTCTTTTGAAGCGTCTTTTAGGTGAAAGACGTCAAAGAGGACGTTGCTTCATAATATTCCTGCAGTGTTCAATTATATTTTTCCTACAAACTGCTTATTACAGCTGGGCTACTTAAGGCTAGCGCTTTGCCAGAGGTCATGCCAGATTGTTGCACTACTTGTGCTACCCAAGCTGATAAACTTGTTTGTGCTAAACTTACCTTTGTTTCCTCTGTTTAGATGCTTTCTGCGTTGAGGAGAAATGTCAAGACAGAGCTAGAGAGTCTGAAAAGACAGATGCTTGCCTGTCCCCCTGCTTTAGCCAAGCAGTGAAGCCCAGTCTGGAAATGACTGTTTTCACTGCTCTGCTTGCAAACAACTCAGTCTAACTTTTACTCCTGTATTCCTGTTTTTGCCCAGGTTTTTTTTTTATTGTGCATGACAGGTTGTGTGATTGCAGATTAAATTTAAATTCCGACATGATATCTGACACAAAGGTACACCGAACCCTGTAGAACAAGAAAGTCAAACTCATTTTATATCATGGGACTCATGGAGCCCACTTTGATCCTGAGTGGGCCGGACCAGCGCAACTCTGCTTTCTTAACTACGCATTTAATTCCTGAGATATCTAAATATAAGTAACAGAAGAGCAGTAAGTCAGACTTTCTACAGAATAAGAAATTTGTCACCATGACTGTTTGGGCTTAAACTGTAAGAAATAAATGTGTAAAATTACAGTAAATATTCAGTAAATATTCAATAGACTGTCCTGTAATTATAAAACTGAACTCACAGAAAAAGTCCTTTTTTGTAGACAATATATAAAAAACAAATAAACAAATTTCTATAATCAATAGTGAAAAATCAGGAACTTTTCAGTTATTTAGTTACGGTAGTGTAGTGTGAATGCCCCTGTAGGGAGGTCTTCATTCGCTCAAAAAACTGGAAAACCTATAACCATTGTTCCATATGGCCAGTTTCACTGTTTCACTATATTTTCAGTACTGATAAAGGGATGCTGGGATGCTGCAAAGGAAAAAACACAAGTATTAAACAAAAAGTATTAAACTATTCCACTTCGTAAATCTGAAAACGGTCTTACAGCTGACCTGTGTGGGCAGAAGATCACAGAATATCATTTACCATTAGATCCCGAATAATCAGCGGATCGAATTTACATACTGTCACTAACTCTGGACATTTTTGAATGTTTGCCATTTATGCTTAATATTTATCAAAATCAGTATTACATACTGTAAGATTCAAACATTAAGACAGATTTGATCTTTTGTTGCATTAATTGTTGCATTTAGAAGGACATTTCAATATTGTACATTACAGATCTGAGAGAAGGAAAAAAACAAGCTGAAAATGATTTGTGGTGTTGCAGAAATGTATGACTGCACATGTTTTCATTATGAACTAATATCTATCATTTGACTAAAATCTTAAACGCTGTAAATAAATTGGCTCACTTTAAAAAAAAAAAAGAAGAAGCTTGATTGCCGGCATGTGTTTTGCACTGTGGGTCCCCTGTGGTGCTCTGAACCAGAAAGACCCACAAATACTTATGTAATGAGGTCAAATGCAAACATAACTTAGAAATAAATAAATAAATTTAGTGAATTTAAAATACCTACATCCTTTCCCCCCATCACTTTACAGGCACTGTTTTCTTGCAAAGTAGGATGAGTATGATGATGTAGCAGCTTTAACTTTCCTAAAGGTTTATTTTGTTTTTTTCAGGCCTGAAAAGTTGATGGGATACTGCCATCACCCTGCCAGCCAGATGGGTACCGTGGTCACCCAGCTTTGTAAACACAACAAGACAATGTAGAGTTTTACGCTGATACCAGAGGTGCGTCAACTAAGAATCTCAGATGAGGTTGAATCTGTCAAGTTCAGAGGTAAAGCTTTCTGAATATTTTGTGAGCACAACAACTCAAGAAAGATCTGATCTAGGATTTCCAAATTAACACCATAAGTATTTCATAAAAGTCTCGTAAAAGTGGAAACTTCAAGGCTGGAGGTGAAGGTTTCTGAAAATCTTGTGAATGCGTAAAAAAATCGCTAATTCCTAAGAAGTTAACGCAATCGTTTTGTTAAACCCCTTCAAGTATAAGGGAAATGTAATTAAAGGGGAAAAATTACAAAAATCTTCCAAATATTTAGGGACCTAAGAGTAAATAAAGTTCAGCACTATAACATTATGACCACATGAGGGCAACAGGAGATCTCCAAAAATGTCACCTGCAGGATAAAATTCTACGATATTTTATCCTCCAAAATTTTCCACTGATTGAAAGTTGACAGATTGATTGAAAGTTCACCTGCTGGAGCGAGTTCCCATGGAAATTCATTTTTTTTGTTCCTTTATAATGGAAGCGAGCAAATTAAATGGAGACAAACAGAAGCTTTTTTATATTATTACATGAATAAAATAAATCATTAGTATTGATTTGGAGTCAGACATACTGTCAACAAATATTACTACACCGTTTTTTTGTGTCTATTACATGAAGCTATCCTGCTGTTGTCTGTTCTCCTCGATGCTGCTCTCTTTTTCTCGGGAGCTCGCCCCCACCTCTCCCCCCCAGCAGAGGAGGAAGAGCTGAGACAAGTGAACAACAAGCCAAAGCCAGGCAGACAGGAGACTGTATAGGTGGGTGTTTTCCCCTTTTTCATGTTGAGTGCTCTCGCTCCGCGGCGCTCAGTTCGTGTGCTCTCTTTTAGGGCGTACCTTCGATAACGTAGAGGTGTTTTTTGTTGTTTCATCCCAACTCTTTCTGATATTTGGATCGTGTCAGCGCAGCAGCGGCGACAGCGGCAGAGGCTGAGCTAAGCTAGGCTAGGCCTGAATCTCCCATCTCAAATACTTATGGACTTTGCAAAACAAACCTAACAGTCTCCAGGATCGGTAATGGTTTGCCTTATGGTGTTTATTTTATTTTATTTTGTTTTACCTTTTGCTCGATGCAAGTGTTTAGGATTTGTCGAAGGCAGATTTTGTTTTTCTCAGTGAACTTGATTGTTGTAGACACCGCGCTAGCAGGCTAGTGAGGCGCAGTAGAAGCTAATTACGTTAGCACTGGCTTGATGAATAACTCTTGTAGAGTGAGGCTCGGGGAAAGTTTAAGAAAACTCATAACATGAAGGTTTGAACTGGAGAGGCAAGGGTATAAAGGTACTATGCACTCCGTAAACACGGGACTTTGTGGTTTGAATGGTTTGTGGTTTTGGTGAGCTGGAAGGTGTGCAGTGCTATTACATTACACGTCGAATCTTCTGTTTACGAAAACGGCGAGGTTTTAATGAACAGCTTCGTATTGCCGTTTTCCCCCGAGCTAACTAGGGGGCTATCCAGGGCAGGTGAGAGAGAACAAGGAAGTGGCCAGGCACCTGGCTGACCGCATCGTAGCTTTTAGTGGAGTCAAAGTCCAATCTCGGCTTATCAATTTCCTATTATGTTACACCTGAAACGCCCATTCTCGGTGGACTCTTGGCGCTTCCAGGTGTTCCAGCGCCTACGGTGTGTGCTTGTGCTTTTAATTTCGTTCATTTTAGTCACTGTTTATTGTTTCTGCAGCTGTCTTTTGATGTGGTTTGCCAGGTAGAGGAGGAGAGAGACGGGATTTGTGGTGCTGGTTGTTGTGGTGGCGGATCAACGGCAGCCAAGGACAAAAGCAAGAACCTGTTGTGTAGGTCTGGACGGGGTGTGGTAAGGTGGCTGGCTGGAAAGGCAGGCGGGAAGGTGTGCTGGTTCCTTAGTTATTCTGCCCCTTGTGCAGACGCTTACAACATAGACGTCTTCTCAATTTACTGTTTTACAACTTATTTACAGAGGTAAAACAGTAAATTGCCAGAGGGAGCAGGTGTGTGTGTCCCTGTTTAGAGTGAGCTTTGAGCTTTCAGTTTGCTTCATGTGGCTTCGTTGTGATGTTAAGAAAAACATTAATATCACACAGACCAGCATAAGTTAGTGTTTTCAGAGTTGATCTAAAGTAACTGGATTGTTGATTTAGTTTGATACAGTCAGCTGATTGGACATGCCTGACATATTCCTGTTCATACCCTGCGGGCATATCTGTTTGAGTTTGTTGGGGCAGAGATGGAGGAGATTGTGGACAAGTTTGAACAAGTTGTTTGCTGTGATTTGCCTTCTCCGAAAGATTTAGAAATGAGGGACAGGAAAAAAGTAAAATCTGAAGTTGGGCACTTCTCTTGCTCCTAACCATGTTGTCTGTGGAGGCTGAAGTCTTGCTGCTCAGCCAGTTGTTTTAGCCAGGGCTATCATTTGTGAGTCTCTGTAATGACGGGCTTTCAGAGAAATACCATGGGTGTGTCCCTTTGACTGACACACACACACAAGCTGGGGTTTTCTTATATTTGCTCCTCCTCCATGTCTCCCCACATGTCTCTCTTCCTCAGTCTATTTCCAGCAGTCACACCTGCAGTCTGTTTTTATTTAAACTTCAGCTGGGCGTGCATGGGAGATGTGTGATAATGGGTTAAATCAGAGTGTACAGGGTATGAAGCTGTGAAGCAAAACAGCCGTACAGCACCCTCCCTCTGTGCTGGTGGTTATTTTCTTGGAAAGGTTGAGTTTGGTTTGCACGTTTATGAACCTCATGACAGCAATTTAGAAGTGATTGCGCGCTTGTTTGCGGTTCACTTGTGGCAAATCTTTACCAATGGCTGAATATTGGATTTTAGTTTGTGTGACCATTTTTTAGTGAAGCAGTTAAGAGGGAATGTTTTGCTGCATGCATGATTTCTGTGTTTTCTGGTAGTGATATTGATTAAAGCTAAAATTATGAGGGTGAATCTTGAGCAACCTTTACAGGTAGGTTCAGGGATGCACTGATTGGAAAATTGTGGTCCTAACGGTACAACTCTTTAACAGCATTTGGCTGACAGTTTTGTATCTTTGTAATCTTTCCCACCCCTGTTTTTGTGAGAGAAACAAAAATTCTCAATTGTTAACATTTGAACCTTTAGCCAATGTGAAGTAATGCGACACAACAGATAAATATCGGCCACTTGAGATGGGCAAATGTCTTTTCTGCATTCAAAAAGCTCGATATGTCGGAGCATCCAGAGGCTTAATTAAATCTAGCACTATCACAGAGCACACAGCAGAATATGAGTTGATGACATTTAGTTGACTCACGATAAAATCTAATTTAATTTATAAATGTTTGTTATTGAATTTAATTTCCATCCCATTTTGGATTCCACGGATTAATTAAACAAGACAAAAGAAGTTCTGTTTTGCCCTTCAGCACATCTCTCTCTTCTGTACTTTTGCCACTCCTCTGAGGCAGGTTTATTTCAGTTCAGTTATTTATTTATGTCGTTTTTTTCATTCCAGTTCTAATTAAAGTTCAGGGATAGTCACTTAATTAAAAAGGAAAGTGCGTTCTTTTTTAAGTTTAATAAATCACTCTAAGGTCTCTGAGTAATTGTGTTAAATGCCAGTATCAATGAAAATTGCTGTACTTAGGACTTTTGCCATAATCGAGCAGCCTCAGTTTGTTCAGAGAGTGGCCTTTTGATTTATTGATTTGGTTTCTTTTCTAGTTACCAGCTCTATTTATTAATTTCAGGAAGGTTTAGTCAGCTTTGGTGAGATGGAAAGACGAGCTAACGCAGATGGAAATGATTCTGTTCTGTGACATAAACTAGAGCTAAAAGAAGTTTAAAGTATTTTTTTCCACGGGTTTCTTGTCTTTTCTGGAATTAGCATGCAGGCTGCACTAGTTGTAGAGTATGTTGTTGTTCAGTTAATTACTAATTAATTAACTGACCTCTACTGGCTTTGTATTAAACCAAGCAGGTAGAGGTCACTCCTCCATCTGTTTTATATGATATAAAGTTAATGTGTTGGACTCAAAGTGTGTTCTTGGAATTGTTAGAAATTTTCTTGACTTTGACTTAATAAATAACAAATATGACAAAAATAAATATCGTATTTGTTGATACCACCTTATATTATAAGTAGAGGTAAGTGATATGTAGTTATTAAAGTAATGCTGCTTTTGAGACTAAGCAGTACAACAAAAATGTATTACAGTGACTAATGGCATCCTATCAGTATCAGGGTTTTTCCTGGTTCAAAATGAGTCTTTGAAGGGCAGCTACACATGCAACCGCAGTTGGTCTGCATGTAGTTAACACAAAGAGTCTGTTACCCGATTTAACAGACGTCTGTGCTTTTTCCTGTCATTTTTAGCCATTTGGTAAACAAAATATTATTTTATGCGTGATTAAATGAAACCCCACCTGCCAAAAAATTCAGTACTGAGTTTTTGTTTTTTTCTTTTGGGGCAAGGCCAATAACTCCCAAGAACTGGTGGTATCATATCTGTAGTCCTAGCTCCAGCTTCACGTCCACATATTTGAACTTATTTGCTCATTTTTAGACTCGAGCTGCAGTTAAATGGCCCTCCGCTCAAATGGGGCTGCACGTTTCCTTCTCACCAAGAATAGTACACTGGTATTGTGCAGATTGGGCAGCTGGCCTTGTGGTGGTCCCTGCAAAGTGTGTGTGGGTGTGTGTGAATGTGTGCTCTCCACAGCGTGCCCACGCTGTACACCACATGGTGGGCTGTGTATACGCGTGTGTGTGTGTGTGTGTGGAGAGGGGGTGGTACATGGTTTTACTTTGATGGGAAAGGTGGTAGTAGTTGGATGTGAGCCAAGGCTACACAAAAAAAGGAAAAACTAAACTAACACACACGGGCCAAATCTCTGAGTGACCATTCAAATGAGGCTGAGTCAGCAGAGCATTTGGCCAAGCCACAACAGCATTTTACCAAAGCTTCACCTCAGCTGTGTGTGCGCGCATAGACAGGGACAGGGTGTATTTCAGCCTGCCACAACCACCAGTGACTAACTCCCTCAAATAGCCGTGATAGCATATGATAATAAGGCAATTCTCCAGACTAACAAACTGTTAGCAAGTTTGCAGTGAGTAGTGGACACAAACTGTGTGTGCGCGTGTGTGAGTGTTGTGTGGTAGCTCTGGCTGAGTAGTAAGTGGTTTAGCAGTGTAATTCCAAGTCTATCCCATTAGCAGATACAATTTAGCGTTGCTGCTAATGGCCTTACAGTAGATTACAAAAGCATAATGGCCAGACTTTAAGTGGCAAAAGCCATTAAACTTTAAGAAGGAACTACTTCCTGCCACAAGAATGTTAGTGGTGTGGCTCTCATGGCTGTAGAGGCCGTGTGCATCTGAAAGTCCATTACACTGAAGCTCAATCTTCATCAGTGCTAACAAAAAGTGTAGATGTTTTTGACAAAGCCTCAAAGAACATCCTAAACCATGGCGTTATCTGGTTTTTGTGATGTTAGTTGATTTCCATTTTCTGTAATGCCGGGTTCAGATAATTGTCAGAGTTTAGGCAAGTACATAGTAATAATATATAATATGACGCCTTTTTGTGTCTGTAAGACATGACAGACTGCTCCCTGAAAATAAACATCAGGAAGGAGGATGTAGCAACCACAGTGGTGTGTTGTACCATTTTACAGTCCCACCGAGGAGCAACTTTCCGTTCGTTATGGTTCAGATCAAATTATGATCACATGATGAGGCCTTTAACCATCCATTCATTTATCCATTTTCTTTCACTTTCCTGGTTCAGGAGTGCTGGAGCCTATTGCTGCTGTCATAGGGTGAACAGCAGGACACACCCTGACCAGGTTGCCAGGCTGTCACAGGGCTAACACAGCTCTTGTTATTATTGCCTCTAGGGAAAAGTAAGATATGAGGCAAATTCAGATTCATATCTGAATTTGCCTCATATCTTACTTTTCCCTAGAGGCAATATATGAGGCAAATTCAGATTCTAAAAGCTGATGTATGAGGTGAACCACAGCTCATCTATAAAGTTCAGCGGAGTGGTGCAAAAAGATCCCTACACTAAAACTGTTGAGGCTTAGAGAAACAGAAATGGCTTTCTGACAAGGATGTTGTTACCCTCGAGACCATACAACATTACCATCAATATTTTCCATGCCCGTTGGCTCGCCTAGTCTCCTGTTACCATTAGTTGTTGAATGTTGCTGCTTGGTTAGCACTAGAAATACCAGTTTGTTAAATTAATTATTTGCTTATTTTATCAATGTACAAAGTTCTAAGACGTTGCACACCTGTCTCTCTGTGATACAAAGTTGTAAAGAAGCAAGGTGGAAAGTAGAACTGAGGACAGAAGCTTGGTTGTGGGTTTCTAGAAATTTAGAAAATGGACACTTGTATTTAGGCTGAATCAGAGTAGACTGAGAAGAAAACAACTCGACTGGAGCATCGTTGATGCACGTTATGTTAACCTGCAAGGAAGGGTTCTGGTGCTAGCTAGTGTGTCACACACTGCACACACAATATCACATTAGTTTACAGTCTTACGCACAGGTTAAAGTATGTTAATCAGAACGTTTGGAATAGGTCCTGACTATATGCACAATGCATGTATGGCAGATGTTTAATGTCGCTTAGTGTTGACTGTTCTCTTACTTTCAAACAAG